GGGAACCAGCAGTTAGCGTAATGGCTATGTCGCTGGACTCCCACGTAGTCGACCGCGGTTTGTGTCCCGGACCTGGTGGCTTAAAACTCACGCCGGGCGCGTGTGCGTGCGTGCCCAAGATCCCGAGAGGAGAATGGAGGAGAAGGGATTGCGGCGTGACCATCCCCCCTGGGGGGTGATTTCTCGCTTTCTGTCTCTATGTCTCTCTCTGTCTGTCTGGCGAGCGCACGCGCCCTACAGTGAAAATCTCTCCAAAAAAAAACAACAAAAAAAAACCCCAAAAAACCAAAACTATGAGTAATAAATTAAACATATCATAACTTACCTATTCAAGGTTTTTATAAATAAAGAATTATTTAATTTCTTTTATTATTTTTGTGTGCTCAGGGGAGAGAGAGAGAGCAAACCTCCAAATCCAGGATTTAAACCAGTCAGCCATGTGGCAATCCAGCTCCCTAATCACCACGCCACCTGCTGGCCCCCGTTTTAAGGTTTTTATTACTGCAGCAGCAATTGACTAAGACAGAAGCTCAATGCCTAGTGGGTATCTTGGGATTTTTAAGGCCTCTATTTTCTCATTTCTTAAAAAATAAAAAAATGTTTAATAAAGATTTTTACAGATCATGTATTTATTGGAAAACAAAAGGTTCTGTAAACAGTCCAGTCTGTAAAATTTTCTCTCTCAGGTCATATATCTTTTCTTCAAGATCTGTACTTATTCTTATGATGCTCTCAAAAGTAGATCTTGAGCTCATTTTGACTGATCAGATCTTCAAGGAGAAGCTCTACAGGATACAGATGCAAATTCAGTTGCAGTGAGAAAAAGTTCTCTATGCCATTATCTGAAAGCCGTGACATTGAGGCAGGAAGCACTGAGGTATCTCTTGAAATAAGATTTCTATTGTGCACTATTGTTAGTGTTATTAGGATTCCCAACGTGAGGTGACTCTAAGACTGGTCTTATAGTGAGACTGTTGCATAAAGATCTATTCCACTGTTTCTCCACAAGAAGTTTGGCACTGACTGCTGCTAACTTCTCATTAGTCTCGTTCCATTTATCTGACAATGATTTTCTAACTTGTGATTCTTCTAGATAGAGTTGCCTATATTTCTTAAATTGTGTTTTATTAGAATCTTCTTGAGAAGCTCTTCTCCTGAAGAGTTTGGATTCTATAGCTTTCATTCTGAGTTCCATCTGACTTCTAAATAAGTCTTTGCCTTAAGATATGTGCACTTGCCAGAGAGATAGACAGAAACAGCGAGAGATAGAGTATGAAATCACCCCACAGGAGAGATGGCCGTGCTGTAATCCCTTCTTCTCCATTCTCCTCCTGGGATCTGGGACATACATGCACACATGCCCAGTATGAGTTTGAAGCCACCAGGTTCAGGACCCGAACTACGGTCGGCCATATGGGAGTCCAGTGATGTAACTGCTACACCTTCTGCTGGCCCTCCAGTTACGTCTTTTATAACCAAACGCTCTGATGTATTTAGGAATTTATCACCTCCTTGTTTGCTTCAGGTGTGAGTTAGGGTGTTTTGTTTGCTTGTTTTTGTTGGTTTTTATCATTTTGAAAGGTGTACGGAGATGAATTTATAGGGCTACTCTTAACATACATTAACCAGAGATCCTCATTAATATATGTGAAAAATCTAAAATTTTTTTTGAGAGTTTTTTTTGCTATAGGGCACGTGCACTCGCCAGACAGACAGAGAGAGACATAGAGACAGAAAGCGAGAAATCACCCCCCAGGGAGGATGGTCACACCGCAATCCCTTCTCCTCCATTCTCCTCTCGGGATCTTGGGCACGCACGCACACGCGCCCAGCGTGAGTTTTAAGCCACCCGGTCCGGGACGCGAATCGCGATTGACTACGTGGGAGTCCAGCGACATTACGCTAACTGCTGGTTCCCTCAAAAATCTAAAATTTTTTCATGCAGCATTTTAAATGTTGTGCTTTTTATAGTACCTCAGATTATCTAGGCAGATTATCTAGCCATTATACTAGACAGATTACCTAGTCTGGAGTACAGAAAACCGGAAAGCTGTCACCAACATTGAAGTCTATATTCTACTTGAATTGGACACTTCATGGCTAACTTTCTGCTCTGACACACACTACCATAAGCAGCCATGTGTCTGTGCTCTTTGGAACCTGTTTGGAACCTGGAGCTAGGAGTGGGATGCTGTGTGGTGGATGAACATGTCATCTTCTGTACGGGACATCGTCGAGTTATGTCAAAGAACTGACCCAACTTCCACTCTTACTAACAATGTGAGGAGCCTCCCTTATTCCTTTTTCTGTCCACCACTTGCTATAGGTACATTTTTAAATTATTGAATTAATAGGCCAGAATGTCTCATTGTGCTTTAAATTTGTTATCTTGATAATTTGAGATATGTTGAATCTTTTCATGTGCCTAGTCACTGTGAATTTCTTTTAGTCTTTGCAAACATTTTAGGAGAAATAGATGCTTTCTTATTTTTGTTAGGAGTTCTCTGTGGGATCAGCAGATGACATAATGGTTATGTCACTGAACTCCCATGTGGCTAATCATAGTTCTAGTCCCAGACCCAGCAGCTTGAAACTCATGCTGGGCATGTGTGCATACATGTTTAAAATCCCGAAAGGAGAATGGAAGAGAAGGGATTGTGGCATGGCCATCCCTCCTGAGGGGTGATTTCTTGCTTTCTGTCTTTGTCTAGCAAGCACATGTGCCCTATAGAAAAAAAAAATCTCATAAAAAGAGTTCTCGGCATATTCTAGGTATTAATCTTTTTGTGAAGGAATAAAATGACTTTTTAGAATATGGGACCAGGGGCTGGCAAATGCCGTAGTGGTTGGGGCTTTGGACTTGCACATGGCTGACTGCAGTTCAAATTGCTGACCTGGCAGCTTGAAACTCACACCCAGCCTGTGTGAAAGTGTGCCCAAAATCCCAAGAGGAAAGTGAAGGAGAAAGAATTGCAGCATGGCCATCCCCCCTTGGAGGGGTGATTTCTCACTTTCTCTGTCTTTCTTGTGTCTTGGTAGAGCACACACAAACTACACCAAAAATTAAAAAAAAAAAAAAAAGAATATGCGACCAGCCCCATATCACAGTGGTTAAGTACTATTCAGAGGAAGTTGGATTCCATGCAGCCATCCAGGGTTCTAGTTCCTGCCCCAGTGGCTTGAACTCTGGATGTAGGTGTACATGTCCAGGAACTTGATGGGATGAAGAATTGGAATAAAAGATTGTGGCCTATAGGGTCATTTGAGGGGAGTCCTTTCTCTCTCTCTCTGTGTCTTTCTTCCTCTTCTGGATGCATACATGCCCTCTGGCATAATAAGAAAAAGAAAATGTCAAAACAACCAACATTTATTTAAAAAAAATAAAGAGGCTGTGCTGTAAAGACTTCTCGATCTTCTAACATTTTTTATATCACTTTACAAACATATTTTAAAAAATTTTTAAATTGTTTTAGATTTTTGCTATAGGGCACATTTGCACAACAGAGATGGAGAAATGGAAAGTGAGAAATCAGCACCCGGAAGGATGGCCAAGCCACAATCCCATGTGAATACTCCCCTCTAGATTTTGGGCATTCATGCACACACCCCAGGACATGTCTTTCAAGCTGTGAGGTATGGGACTCAAACCACTGAGACAGGTCATGTAGAATCCAGCACCTTCACCACCATGCCGCTTGCTGGCCCCAGTCGTACATCTTACTGTGGTATGATTTGATATAAGTGTTTATTACATAATGATCGAATCAAGGTAGTTAGCATATCTATCATCTCATGCGTTTGCATTTTTGTGTGATAATAGTCAAAACCCTCTCTTCTAGCTGGCTGGATATGAGTCACCCTAGTGTTGACTGTAATCACCCACTGAGGACAGACAAAGATGGAGTGAGTTGTCCTGCCTCCACCTTTTTTTTTTCTTCTATTCAGACTCTCAGCGACAAGAAGATACCAGCCCACCTTGGTGAGGGAGGACCTCCTTCATTCAATCTATACATGCAGTACTAGTCTCTTCTGGAAATGCCCTCAGACACACCCGGGAATAGCGTTTTATCGGCTCTCTGGACATCCTTAGCTAGTCTGGTTGACACACAGAGTTAACCACCGCATGGATGATTAAACAAAACTTCAGACTATGTTTCTTTTGGACAATTAAAATCTTTATTTAAATAGTATTCCTTCAGGAAAAAAACATTACTTCAGTAAATAATGAATATATTGTTGCTCTTTACAGACAGTTAAGCTTATAAGCAGAACACAAAAAGAAGCCCTGAAGTTCTGAAGGTTAATATATTTTTTTTTTTTGCTATAGGGCGTGTGTGCTCACCAGAAAGACAGAGAGAGAGAGACTGAGAGATAGAAAGTGAGAAATTACCCCCCAGGGGGGATGGCCACGCCACAATCCCTTCTCCTCCATTCTCCTCTCGGGATCTTGGGCATGCACGCACACATGCCCGGCATGGGTTTAAGCCACCGGGTCTGGGACTCAAATCACAGTCGACTATGTAGGAGTTCAGCAACATAGCCATTATGCTAACTGCTGGTCCCAAGGTTAATATATTTACAAGCAGTATCATTAGTCATGGTCATGGTCCAGAGAAATAGCTGATTATCTACAACCAAAGCAGAAATTTGTTTCATTGTTGAGATGTCTCATTCAAGTCATTAAAAGTTTAGGTCCTTGAGCAGGAGTGTGGTGAAGTAAAATGCAACATTCTGCAAGGCAGATTCGCGTTGTCCGTCCATGTCCAGGACCTCCCTGAGTATGCTGGGCACGTGTGCACACATGGTCCAGGCTGGCTGACACTGGGGGTGGACTGCTGTGTCGAGGCCCTATAAGAGGTGCTGTATCTCTGTCTCTATCTTTCTCTAGTTCATGTTTGACTTATTTCCTGATGGAATAAATATAAACTTTTTAAAAAATATATCAGTGCAGGAATTCCATGAGTGAGCACCAAGAGAAAATGGCATGACATGTTAGGAAGAAAGTGCTGACTAGATTAATCCACAGGTCATAAAGTGCGTGAGGTATTAGATCTACAGTACTCTTGGGGCTGGCAGGAGGCCTCTGGATATGCCAAGTCTGAGGTGCTGGTGGTCTAGAGAAAAATAGCACGTGCTGGTCCAGCAGCAAACCAATAGGAAGAGTTGATCCACTTGATCACACTTTTAGGAGCTCTTGAGGCATCTTCAATCTTTAGAAAATAAATAAATGTCAGTCCAAGTGTCTGAGGAAATCTAGGCCAGTGCTCCTAGGGTTACCCCATGGTGACCACTCCCCATCTCAGAGCCTGCTCTCACTAAGGGCCATGGATTCCCCTGACCCCACAACTGCCCCTGTACTCTGTGGCCATTTGTCCCCTCCTATCCCATGTCACAGTCAGCCCAGACCCTGCTGCAGATTGAGGTGGTTCAGGACTGAAGCTGCTCACGAGGGGTCCACTCCCTCCTGATGCCCCCTTTGATAGGAGGGCCTGAGGACCAGGTAGCTCCATCCAAAGAGGAGTCTGGAACTTGGTTCCTCAGACCTTTGGTAGGATGGCTGCCAAACATCCTCCTGTCCTTCCCTGTCAGATTCTGCTCCCCTGGGAGACATGCCCATAGTTCTGAGTGTGACCGTCCCTGCCTGCCCCACCCATCCTGGTCAGCTCAGCTGGGACCATCGGACTCCAGCAGCAGCCTAGCCTCACAGGTCTCCAGAACAGCTCTGCTGGAGCCAGGGCTCAGTTGGCTCAGGACCTGAAGTCTGCAGGAGGCTGACTGCCAGGGCTTGGTCCAGGTCTAAGCCTGGGTTCCCAGGGGTCCAGGGAGGACTGAGAGAGGACTGCATCCCTACAACCTCTTCCTGGACAGTCTTTCTTGTTACCTCTGTCTTATCTGCTGTGACCCAGGCTCCTCTTGATGGGAAGGCAGCCCTGAACACCGGCATTTTTGCTCAGGTGTGCAAAGCCCTGCCCAGCTCCTTCTTCCTAGGATTGGAGCCAGGCCATTTTCTCTCAGCATCCCGAAAGGAATTCCCTCCCCTGGACACATCGTCTGAACTAACGGTCCTGGGCCTCCCCACATCTGAGCTCAGGCCACGTCTGTGTTCCTAAAGTCTCCATCCACTCTCCTTGTGTGCCCTTCTGGAAGAGAGACCCTGCTCTGTAACAGGCCTGACCTGCATCCTCTTCAGTGTCAACAGGCCCACCCCTGGGTAGGCCCTGTCCTCTCCCTGGTCTGTGACAGTGAGGATCTGCCAGAACTCAGGGCTGAGCTTGCCCAGGGTGTCGCCACGAAGTGACACACGCTCTAATTCACCTGGTCTCACCGCCAGGGTATCTGGTCCAGTCAAGGGGAAGGAGGGACTTTGGGAATTCACTCTCTGTCCTCACCCCTCTGTCCCTGGCTTCCCCCCACACCCTGAGTTCTACCCACTGTACCTGTCAGTCTAAAAGATCCAGAAGATACAAAGTAGGACAGAGATGGTGAGGCTCACAGGGAAGCTCCAGGGTCTAGCCCCGTTGGCTGTGGCATGGGCGTGGGCTGTGTCTGGGGCCGTGGTTGGTGGTGCTGAAAAGGAAACACAGGAGTGACAGCCCTTGTCCAGCCCTAGGTCTGAGGATTTGCTGCCTCAGCTCCTGCTGCCCCAGGCGTCCAGCAATGCAGTTTCTACCCTCTGTATGTGACAGCTGCGGTGACAGATCCTGGGGCAGGTGGGCAGACAGGGGATGGACCCTGACCTCAGGTGTCTGATGCAATGGCTGAGGGAAGCTAGGGTGACCACGTGCACACTCTCACCTCCCCCACCGCGCCCGCCACTGTGGCAGTAGAGGAAGTGAAGGAAAGGTCTCAGGAGGTGGCATTTCAGGTTGGTCTGTATGTGCCACCAGTTGGGTGTCATTCTCAAACACATATGCATACACACACACCTGTGCACACACTGCACACACATACCCTTGCGTGCGTGCGCACACACACACACTCCCATGCATGTGCACACACTCCCCAAACAAGCACGTGGGAGGCAGGTAGGTCCCATCTCAGCAGAGCTACCCCTTCCCATCTTCTCTGGTACCTGTCGGCTCCAGCACCTCCTCCCAGCACTTCAAAAACTCCTCCAGCCAGCTCCCGCCGTCTCCCAGTGAGACCTTCTCTAAGAACATGGCCATCTCCCTGTCGTTCTCCCACTGCTCTTTCATCCCTCCGGCAGTGTGGTGAACCGCTGTCCACATTCTTTTCTCCGGGTCAAAGAGGAGGAACGTCTGTCCATCAAAGCTGAACTGCCAGGCCCCAGTGGTGTGTCCGCTGGCATCACACTTACAAGACATCCTGGCCTGCAGGGGGAGAGACCCTGCCCCATCGGAAAGACATCAGCCTCTGGGATCGACAAAGCCTTTGCCCACCTCTTCCCTCCTATCTGCTGGCCCTGTGTGTCCTTCACACCCTGCCCTGTGGCTGGCCTCCTGGGGAGACCAACTTCCAATTTCCCTTTCTTCATAATGACAAGAAATGCCTTGAACCTACCACAGTATCTGCATTCCCCAGCTCCAATCATTCTCAACTTACCTCTGTTCCCATCATCCTCCAGTTTAATGTCAGGCAGTCGCTCCTTGAATATCTCCCCAGCGTCTCTCAGCATAATCACCTGATCTTCCCAGGCACGTGTGCCATTCACCTTCTTCCCCAGGGGACTGATGGGTTTGACCTTGCTGCCACAGTCATAGGAAAGGAAAACCTTCCAATCCACCTGGCCTTGAACTTCACACCACCCTTGTCCAGGTCTGGGACTGGGAATGAGGGTGAAGTCATAGCAAAGAGCGTGAGTGTCTGGGAAAAAGGGAAGAGAGGGTTAGGGTGGGGAGAGGATGGACTCATAGACACAGACTGCAATTCTGTCAAGGAAGGTAATCAATCAATCTCTTTTGAAGGCTTGAGTGACAGATCAAGGAATGTTACTCCTGTCAAGGCAATACTGTATTAAGAAAATAAATTAGGAGGCATCTCACTATCCAACTTTAAAGTATATTACAAAGCAATGATAATCAAAAAAGCATGGTACTGGCACAAAAATGGATACATAGACCACTGAAACACAATAGAAAATCCAGAAATAAAGCCCAAATTATAGTCAGCTGATCTTCGATTAAGGGTATAAGACAATGCAGTATTGGAGCCTGCAGGTGGCTTGGTGGTTAAGGTACTGGACTCCCACATGGCCAATGGCAGTTTGAGTCCTGAATCAAGTGGCTTTCTCTCTCTCTCTCTCTTTCTCTATCTCACCTGGTAGCTATCATCAGGAGCTGGGCTCCTCATCCAGCAGGTCATCAGCTCACTGGGACCAGCACTCACAGGACAGACATGATCATCCTGGAATAGGCATAGGCAGGGCCACAGGGACAAAAGAAGCAGCACAATCAGGTGGCCCTTATCCCCAGGATGCCAGGATGGCAGCACCATCTCACTTTCAGCTCACATCTGTGGCTCAGGGAGTGTCCTTTATAGCCGTGGACCAAGGAATCCACTGGACAGCAAGGGAGGGGAGCAGTAGGCCCCAACAATAGTCATAACTCACACCCCGTCACCTCCACTGCACCCAGAGCCACAGGCAGGACAGGACCCACTTTAGACTCATTAAACAGATGGCTGAGGCATCACTTGAAGAACCCTGGGGTATGGGGCTCTGGTAGCCAGGGCACTGAAGATACCCTAATCTGGGGCTGGTAAACCAGGGCAGGCCAAAGTTGGTCTCCCATTGGATTCCAGATCTTGGCTGGCCGATTTTCCAAGGGCAGAACTGTGTAGTTGATGCAGAGACAGGTATCCAGTGGCCTACAGTATGAAAGATGTTTGTGCTCTGCCATTTATAGAAAGTACTTATCTGGTGCAGCAGTTAATGACCATTGATAAGGAGCCAGATTCCAGCCCTTCTGGTTTAGAAAGAGGCCAGGTGATGTGGACGGGTGCCCCAAACCCTGAGCTGATGGCAAACGGAGGAGAAACACGGTGGTGTGACCACACTCCACTGAGGGGGCATATCTCTGCTTGTCTCACTTTTGTAAACACACTCTCTGGAAATTTAAAAAAAGAGAGAGAGAGAGAGAATTAAAATATCCTTGATTCTTGACTGTTAAATATGACTATTCTAGGGACCAGTAGATGGCATAATGGCTATATCAGTGAACTCCCATGTAGTCCATAGTCCATCACGGTTCAAGTCCTGGACCCAGTGGCTTAAACTGACGCAGGGTGTGTGTGTGTGCATGCCCAAGATCCCGAGTGAAGAATGGAGGAGAAGGGATTGCGATGTGGCCATCCCCCCCCCCGGGGGGGGCTGATTTCTTGCTTTCTGTCTCTCTGTCTCTTTGGTGAGCACACACATGCTATAGCAAAAAACCTCTCCAAAAAAATAAATATATGACTATTCTATATGATGCTGTCTCCCAAGAGGGTAGAGCAGCTGACCTAGGAGCTAAGTGTGGAAGCAGCCCCAGGCATCATCCCAGGGCCAGCCTGGGAAAAGAGGCTGCCTCCCTCCTACTTTGGGTCTTAGATGAGGTTGGGGTGTGTTCCTAGGTGTGTCCTCCAGCAGGGGTGAGTTGGCAAAGGTGTGGTTAGCTCTAATTTATGTTTGTTTCTGTAGAGAGATTTTTCCCATACACGTGGGCTCACTAGGGAGACAGAGACAGAAAGCGAGAAATCACCCCTCGGAGGGGATGGCCTGGCTGCAATCCCAGGATTCGGGGCATGCATGCTCGCATGCTCGCATGCCCTTCGGGAGTTTCAGGTGTGTGGGCCCAGGACGTAGTAACAGCCTTAATCCACCTCCTCGTCTCCTAAGAGCCTCACCTCTACAGCTGCTGCAATGGCATTCAATTTCAACGTGAGTTTTGGTGGAGAACATGCGAACCATGGCACTTGTCAAATAACTGTATTCAATAAAAACAGGACTGCCAAAATTCAGACATGCATGAATAAAGGTTGCATGCATCTCCTCACTAACTAAAAAGTCCTTTCCTGGGCCAGCCCATGATGGAGGTTGAGGTGGCTAGACCCCACATGGCCAACTGCATGGTTGGCATCCTGAACCCAGCGGCTTAAGAAACACACCGGAAACGGGCGTGTATGTACCCAAAATCCCCAAAGAGGGAGAGATGAAAGAGAAGGGATTATGATATGATCGCTCCCCATAAGGGGATGCTTTCTCATTTTCTCTCTCTGGCATGCATTCTGTGCCCTCTGGCCAACCCCCCTAACCCCCCTCCCCCCAAAAAAAGGAACAGAATGCTTTCTAGCATAGAGTAAAGGTAAGACGAGTTGTGGAAAATGGTATTTATGAATGTGAATGCAGAGCGCATAATTAACTGCAAAGCCAGAGGCTGCAGCCGTGAACTGTATGTGAATTCTTTCTTTTCTACCTCCCCCACTTCATTTAATGACTTTCATTTTTGGTTGTTAACATTTTAAGTTTCAGGAGGGAGTATTCCTGAATCGACATCACCCAAAGATAGTACAACAAATAATATGGACATTTGTGTGACTCATACTGGGGGCACCATATAGACCTCCACATAAAGTCCTCCCAGACAAAAGACAGGAGTGGCCACTGAGGGCAAAGGAGGGGACTGTCCTGGATGTCCTCTGTTTGTCCCTCTGACTGACCCCCACTCTCTTCCCTTCTGTGTACCTTGAGGCTCTCAGAGCTACGTCCCCCAGTGTCCTTTGAACATCTGGCTGGGTTTTATCAAGGGGAGGCACCAGTAGTAGCTGAGAAACCGGAAGTGGAGAAGCGTCAAGTATGGATCCCCCTTACCCCTCCCTGGCAGTTGGGCCGTGGCTGCACGCCCTGCTGGAGGCCAGGACTGCTCTCCAGTGAGTCAGGGCTGTAGCTGCCACTCACCCCGTGCACTGCCTGCTCCTCCCTGCTCAGGACAGCTCCAAGGCTGCTCCTCATTCACATCTCTGGAGCCTGCCCACGCCCTGTGGCCAGTCCCGCCAGTCATCACCCGCTCTGCTATTCCTTTCCAGCTAATACATTTCTATTACCGCAGATTCCCTTTAATGGAGAGGCAAATGTTCAAGAGGAAAAGAAATTTATTTTTAAATGGTCTCCAAATGGACATTTTCGATTATAATATAAGAGAAAACATAAATTCTAAAACTACACTCATAAGAGGAAAAATACTTGTACAAATCACTAAAACTTTTTAGACTCTCATTAACAAGATGTGACCAGCTTCCTATCTACAGAGTCTCTGAGCTTAGTCCCTTTTTAGGCGTTATGAAGTCATGTCATAAAAACCAATCAGCATGGGACCAGCAATTGGCATACTGGCTATCTCACTGGACTCCCATGTAGTTGACCATGGTTCGAGTCCCGGGCCCAGTGGCTTAAACTCATGCTGTGCCCAAGATCCCAAGAGAATGGAGGAGAAGGGATTGCGACATGACTATACCCCCCCGGGGGGGGCTGATTTCTTGCTTTCTGTCTCTCTGTCTCTTTGGTGAGCACACACATGCTATAGCAAAAAACCTCTCCAAAAAAATAAATATATGACTATTCTATATGATGCTGTCTCCCAAGAGGGTAGAGCAGCTGACCTAGGAGCTAAGTGTGGAAGCAGCCCCAGGCATCATCCCAGGGCCAGCCTGGGAAAAGAGGCTGCCTCCCTCCTACTTTGGGTCTTAGATGAGGTTGGGGTGTGTTCCTAGGTGTGTCCTCCAGCAGGGGTGAGTTGGCAAAGGTGTGGTTAGCTCTAATTTATGTTTGTTTCTGTAGAGAGATTTTTCCCATACACGTGGGCTCACTAGGGAGACAGAGACAGAAAGCGAGAAATCACCCCTCGGAGGGGATGGCCTGGCTGCAATCCCAGGATTCGGGGCATGCATGCTCGCATGCTCGCATGCCCTTCGGGAGTTTCAGGTGTGTGGGCCCAGGACGCTAACTCCCATAGGCCATGTAACTATTGCACCACCTGCTGGTCCAGGTTGCATCTAGCTTGTGAGTGATTAAGTCCTGGAAGGTCCTGTACTGCACACAGCAGGTGTGAAGCAGGGTCACAGGATGTGAGCTGGGCGGTGGACCGGGTGGTGGCCCGCAGACCTGGAGGGGACTATGAGATGTGGACGGAGGGCCCTGGGGAGGCTCTTGAAGCAGCTGCTGGCAAAGTGCAAAGGAAGCTCAAGGATAAGGAGCAGTGGGGAAGGTGGAGGGCCTGTGAGGCAGTTCGCTTGCAGGGCAGGGCATGGCAGGGCAGGCCAGTGTCTCTGCGAGGTCGCGGCCCTACTTGCACTCCCACACCTACCCGGTCCTGACCAAGTCCTAAATCAGGTTGTGGAGCCCCTGGGGTATTGAGGGGATGTGAGTAAGCCACCGGGGCCCGGAATCTGTGGGACGGGTAGGTGCGGGGAGGGAGGACAAGGGGAGGCCGGTCAGGACCGGATAAATGATGGGAAGGGGCCGGAGGCTGGTGGGGTGTGCAGGGGACCGAGTGTGAGGGAAACGAGGCTGGAGACGAATGGGGGACAGGGAGAGAGCGCGTGGGGTACGGAGCACTGGGGATGGGCGACAGGGTGCATCGCCTGCTAGGTGCCCGGGGCCGGACCAACGCGGTGCGCGGCCGGCAGGGACCAGAGCTGGCGGGGACCAGAGCTGGCGGGGACCAGGGCCGCAGGAGGCTGAACTGGCGAGGGGACGGGGAGCGGGGCCGCACAGCGCCCGGGCGCAGGGTAGTGACGGGTCTTGCACCCGGCGGAGCAAGGCCTGGCGGGAGTGGTGCGGCCGTACTAGCGCCGGAGCCGGGGCCGGCGCCCGGGCGGGGGGAGGTCCGGGGGCGGGGCGGGGGCCCGG